AAGCCCGCCCACCTCATACGCCCTCCCATTTCAAGTGCGTCGCCCCTAATCGGTGTGACAACCCCTTGCTAATCTTATTCCCCTTTTTCCATATGTCTGAGCTGCTCTAGAAGCGAAATAGCGAATTATGAGTTTTTGTCTCAGACACCGCCAACTTTCGGCGCATGAAGAATTCATATGATCCGTGTGGACGGGGCTTCACACGGATCATATAAGTTCTTCGCACCTTGTCCGATGCCCTTCCAATCACCGGCTTGACCCGACTTCTCCTAGTTGTGCTCAAGGTCGAACCACAGACAAACAAACATACAAACAAACAAACAGACAGACGAAGCAAATTACATATAGTGGGTGATACTTTACAGCATGGGCGGTGCCGTCGGAGGCGAAGTTGAATGTGATGTATGAAATATTGGCCAGTTTGTAGGAGTATAGAGCGAGAATGTAAAAAAGTAAGGGGAAATAATGAAACTAAACTTATCAGGAATCCTTGGAAGTGGTGGAGTCTTACTGTACAAAAACAGAATTTCAGGATATGAAAGGTGCCTTGGGATTGTCGGTTTCGTTCAAGTTGAAAGAATGTCTGCGGCGTTCATCGGACAGCATAGACAAGAGGTAAAGGAGTAATTGGATTGATGTGATTCTTTCGGCGATGGGAAATTGGTTAAGGTTCTGTTTTGACTTGATTGCCGATGAACGGCCCGATGTGATGACCTTCCAAGCGCTTTCGGAAGAAGATCGACGGCAATGGATTGATGCAATGGACGGCAAGCAGACGGTACGTTATTGTTTGAAGTACTCTTTGTAGTAGCCATGGTTTTATGCACTTCTCTTCAGGTTTATTCACCTGGTGCGGGTCCTTCCACGACTACCCTACAGAGTGAGTTTGTTGTAGAGATACGGTAACTTCATCGACTATGGTGGCATCTACGCTTTTTGCGAGACCTGCCCATCAAACTTTTTTTTGCTTTGGCTTGCAAACTTTTTATTTTGAATAATCAAGTCTCGTTGGAGGGATAGATTTCGGTCATTCGAATGGCGAAGAGACAGACTAAGCATTGTTTGCGATCTCAAAGATCGGTTACGAAGTGAAAGTGTTATGAATTACAAACTTTTTTGGGTCAACTTCCCATGATTATTAGAAGGTGCTAGTTTTTCTATTCGAACAGTCTCAAGCTACGAGCAATTCTGTCATTTGTAATGCAGTGCCCTCAACACGCAGTCGTACGGTTGTCACTTGCGTTCAAGACATTATGATGTATTCTTCTCGTTTTCATACTGGTTAGACTAGATGACAAACGGTAAGTGGAAGACATATTCCGCGTTAACCGCTTGGGCGGGGACCACAGCGACGCCTTCCTTGTATTGCGGGCATGGTCGTCCTTCTGTTACGCTTACTGAGCGAGGTCGTCGAGGTTCGGTAATGGCCATTTATTGGATGAGAATGCTAGATCACTAGACGTGTTATTAGCGTAAGAGCTGATCTTGAATCTGCCTTCAAAATTTGCAAAGCGATTCTCTGAACGGAGTTATGGAGCCGCGTTTACCACGCAACAGGTCATGGGATCGGATCCCTGCTGAGCTTAACTTTTTTGCTTGTTGCGCAAACGTGGCAAAAAGTGATTTTGCCGTCACTACTACTTCAGTTCTCACCTGAGCTTGTCTGAAGAAAAGTTTGCCTCCATTTATTACTGCGCTTGGACTCCTTGTAGAAGCACTGTAGTGCACTGTAGTCTACAAGGAGTCCAAGCGCAGTAATAATGGAGGCAAACTTTTCTTCAGACAAGCTCAGGTGAGAACTGAAGTAGTAGTGACGGCAAAATCACTTTTTGCCACGTTTGCGCAACAAGCAAAAAAGTTAAGCTCAGCAGGGATCCGATCCCATGACCTGTTGCGTGGTAAACGCGGCTCCATAACTCCGTTCAGAGAATCGCTTTGCAAATTTTGAAGCAGATTCAAGATCAGCGTCTAAAACCACGTCTAGTGATCTACATCTCATCACAAATGGCCCACTCGACCCTGACCGACCTTCCCTGGTTAGATCAGCGGTGTGCCGATGAGAAAGACTCAGCTGTTGTCAGTCTCCGCCTCGCTCCGCTCGGAGTATGTGAATGCCATATCTTTAGTGAAGTGACTGCGTCTCCCAGTGGAGTGCCCCAGGTAGATACCGGTATCCTCGATTGCAGGAAAATAGACTTTGGAAACTTGCCTAGCA